CATTTCATTTGCGCTATTTTGCGCACCTCATATGCACCTGTTAGTGCATTGCTCGCGCTATTTTGCGCACCTTACCTGCACTTCTTAGTGCCTTGCATCGTTATGTATACTGCACTTGCATTGTTATGCATGTTTCTAACGATATTGTACCTGTTAAGTTTCTTTCTTTTGCAGGCACGATATTGTACGTACGGTTCATTTGAAGCTGGCACGACCAGACGAACCAGACAGGTATCGTATCCTCCGCGTGAGACATAGTGAGAATTGTATAATTCTCTTACATCCTTTCTGTATGTTATGTAGTTAGATTTGTATGTGCCTGCTTAAAACTGTTGCATGTTTTGCTTCGTTACAGCTTTCTTTGTATGATCGTAAGTTATGTTCGGCATCGTGCATGTTTCTTGCATCTTGCCCCTGCCTTCGGGCGCATATCTTTGTTATCCTGTATGCGTGTCTAAGTCTTCAGCCTCGTCAAAAATGGGTCGTCTCTGGGCTTTGACATTCACTCCCGTCATTTTTATGACTTTCAAGTTCTGTCAAAAAGCAGCAACTGTAGACACCCCACTTTTGACCGTCCTCAAGACTTGGACGTCATCGTTTGAACACTCGATGATCATCCATTCTCGTGTTCATTTTGAGTTCTCGGAGGTCTCGGTCGCGTGCCTTGCCTTAGGATCTCTCAACTTGTCTGTTTTGTGCTTGGTTGAGGACTAAGCACTTGTGTTTTTGTTTCTGAGGGAAGAGGGTGACTTGTTTTCCATCCCCTCAACCCATTGGCCAAGGCATGAAGCCATCGGCCTTGTTTTCTTGTCATCGCCCAAAAGTGTTGGCCGATTGGCACTATTTTGGTCGATCGGCCATATTTTCTGGCCGAACCCTGTTCATCTGCTTTATGCAGATATTTTATAACAGTTGGCACAGCTGGCATGCACAATTGACCCCCTCCATACACGTGTATGGAGAGATTTGCCCTTTGCTTAGCTTCTCTTAGAAGCTTTAGAAATTGAACTGCTATAAAGAGGGAGCCCCTCCTCCCTCCTCAGGGTTCAGAAAAATCACCTTTGAAGAATAGATATAGCCTTATATCTATCTTGCCTTGTTTCTCCATTTTTTGCTTCAAAAGGATAGTATTCTCTTAGTTTAACACACAAACACCTAGCAATACAACTTCCCTTTGTTGCTGAGGTACTAGGGAGTTGGTTTTGGTGTTCTTGGGTGGGTTTGAACTCAGAAAACTTGCTGAAGATTTGTTCTTGAGGAGGTTCTACAAGGGTGAGTTCCTTACTTTAGATACCCCATTCTTGCTTAAGCTTTTAGCCCTTCTTCCTTACTGTTTTAAGCTTAGATTATAACTAATAAAAGTTCTGATTTTTAGTGCTTAAGACCTTTGTTTAAGGTCATTTTTTTTGTTTGGGGTTATGTACCCCCTCTTAGGCCTTGTTTGGCCTTGTTCTTGTGCTTTATTTTTAAGCTTCGAGATCACCTTGTTTTGGCCTTTTCACCACTGAAATCCAGAGGGATTTTAGTGGTGGGGATAGTGTTTTAAGGTCTCAAAAAGGAGAGGGTCATTCCCTCTCCTTGTTGTCTTAAATGCTTGCATAAATGGCTTATGTGGGTAGCATGTTTGCTTAGCTTGTTTTAGTTCCATTTCAGCAAGTATTTGGTGTTATTTTTCCATGTTTTACCTCTGTCTAAAGTTGGTTTAATGGCCTCTTACATGCTCCATATACTTGTCTTGCAATCCCCTCATTTGCCTTAATATGCATCATGTTGTAACATGTCATTCTAGCATAATTTTGGCTTGACTCCATGAAATTTTTAGCTTTGTTTTAACATGCTAAAGCTCTAATTTGAGTTTTCTTAACCATGTATGCCATGCTTTGTACAGCCATAAGGTATTCTAGCTTGTTAGCTTTGAGTGTTCAAGTCACTAGCATGCTTTACTTGGGTCATTTCAGTGATTTGGTATCGCTTGTTATGTTATTTCAGTCCATATAGTATGCTTATATACTTACATTTGTCACTCCTTTAATGTTTTAAAGAGTTGATATTTTATGCCTCATGAATGGGTCATTGCGCATGTCTCTATGTTTAGGCCTTTAGGATGCCATTTTAATGTGTTTTTGGTCTTGTTTCAACATGCCATAACTCTGATTTTGGTGGCTTAAATCATGCCATGTTTGGTTGTATTAGGTGTAGTGTAACACCTCTTTTGTAGCCTTGCATGCCTCATGCTTTTGGCCCTTTGTTCTTGCCTATTTTGGCCTCATTCCTTGCATATTTTAGGCTTACTTTGGCATACTTTAGGACTGTTTTGGTTCACTTTGGCCATTTGCTTCATGTTTCACATGGCCATGGTTTGAGTCCCTTGTCTAGTCTTAAGCTTTAGGCCTTATGCATGCTATGATTATGATTATATGTGTGATTTGGCATCATTTCTAACATCATTTCAGAGCATGTAGTGTTGTCACACTTGTATGCTTTTCACTCTTTTAAGTGTGCTTAAGAGTTGTGTCTTCATGCCCAGGTGATAGGCTAATTGACTAGCACGCTTGCATATACTTTTGGACCATCATTTCAGCATCATTGGCCACCGATTTGGGCATGCTTGAGAGCTGTCCATATTAGTTTAAGTCCATTTTTGCATGTTGTTGCATATTTGCCTTGCATGTTGTTGCATACTTGGCCTATTGCATGTTGCCGCAAGCTTGAGTTATATTGCATTTGGCATGCCTTTTGTTAAGTTGCTTTGCATGTTTGCATGCTAGTCCCATTGCATGTTGTTGCATGCTTATCATTGGTATTGTGGTTGCATGCCTATTACATTGTAATGCTTGCATGATTATGCTACTTTGTTAAGTTCATCATGCATGTATTACATTGGTCTAAATATACTTGTCCCTTTACATGTTGTCACATGTTTTCCTCACATGTTGTTGCATGCTTGTCATTGGCATTGTTGTTACATGACTTGCATGTTTACTTGTTTAGGTTGTATGCCTATTGCACATTGCTTGCTTGCATGCTCATGTTGCATTAGCTTGCTTGCATGCTTAAGATGCATATCATTAAGCATGCATCCATTGCCTCTTGATCAAGCATGATAGAGGTTGGGGCCCCTTATGTGTTTTTGTGCATTTCATTCCATATTGAATTGCACACTTGGCCTCTTTGGCCATCATGCATTGAAATGCGTGATTGGTGGTCCGAGGGTCAAGAACCATACTTCCTTGAGCTCATGACATGATAGGGAGGGTGGTTGTGCATACATAGTCTTGCAAATGTATTGACATGCTCTGTTTGTCCTCTGCTGCAGCAAAAGAACATTCTGCAGGAAAAGATGGCCGATCGGCTATCTGCAGTGCCGATCGACTAAACATTGTTGGCCGGGAGCCTTACATATGGTCGATGGCCACTATCCCTTGGCCGATGGCCCTATCTCTTGCCCGATAGACTCTCAGCATGTCCCCAAGGTGGTTCAGAAGTGTCACAGAAGTTGGCACAGTTTTCAAAGGTACAGAACAGTGCAAACAGAGGCAACATGAAGCATGGCAACAGATTTCTGAGTGAAACCGATCGAGCATGCATTTATCCCTCTTCCCGAGGCTGCTTTACCTGCTTTCGTAGCTTAATTAATTTGTTAATTATTTAAGTGTTGTAATAATTAGTTGTTGCTAATTATTCATTTGGTTGTGTAATTAATTAATTAGCTTCTTAGTTAGTTAATTAGATTGATTTGTATTATTCTTTCGGTCCCTTCGTCGAGAGGGTGCAATTGTGTAATAAGCGTGCGTGTGTGTGATGCATGTCTTCCAACCCCACTTCTTTCTCCCTTTTACTTACCTGCTTTCAGTGGTTAGTTTTAGGGCATATTTTATTTAGCATCCTTATGCTATACATGTTTGCACCATTCATTTGTATTGCATGCACCGGGCTCGGCACATCATACTAACTGCATTGTATTTCAATTCCAAGTTGAATACATGTATGGAATTGTCGTATCTCATATGCCATCTTAGATTAGCCGAGCCTATTCTAGTTGCACTTTGCATGCGATGCATTAGCCATTTTAACATGAACTAGGATCATGCATTGATTACTAACTAGTTTCTTGTTTTGGCTCGGAGTACACTGTGAGTGTTTACGCTTTAGCATCTTGCATGTATGTGAGTGTTAACATGACAGCATGCTTGCCATGAGGCTAATTGCTTATATGATATAACTGCCTGAATGCCTGTGGGTGAAGGTTGGATTACTTGAATTGGAACGATTCATTGAAACCCGCGAGTAGCAAACATCAAACAATTTCCAAATAAATGGATATGCGATGCTTTGTTCCAAATTAGGCGATCTAGTCTATACTTGTGTGCTGTGTGCATCACATAGTAATTCTAGCTAATTAACCGAAATAAGAACGCATGTGTTTTCAAAAACAAAATATCATGCTTAGTACAGGCCGATCTTCGGATCGGGTGAGCGGGGGTGCTCATAGATGACCTTCCCCAATCGTACCTATGTTCCCGAGTCGAGGCAACTTTGGTGATGACGGACACGTGGCCTTAGGCAACGAGTCAGGGTTTCCTAAATTCCCCTAAAACAAAATATTTAGGTGGCAACTCTATATCTGGTAAAGCAGTCCATGTTTGGCACTTCTTTCTTAAAAATTAGTTTTCCAAAACGATTTGCCGGATTTGGACTCTTTGGTGATTTATCGGTCTCGCATTGCACTTTGCGGGATTAGATTCAGAAGCGTAACATTTGAGTCCGAACTGTAGAAGCAAAGCCCAAGGGCGCGTCTACACTGGGGTGCAGACAGTCTCTTCATTTTTTTGCTTCTTTTTCCCTAACATGACAACGAGTAATGATATCACAAAGTGTAATTTTGATGAATACATTGATTGTTTTTGTATAATTGATTTAGAGTTCAGAAACCAAAAAAAAAAATTTATTACATCTTAATGATTGTCAAGTTATCAGTCAATTCATGCTAATATGTGGTTAGGTTTTGTTACACAGTTCCGTTGGAATTTTATGCACCCTGGTGTGGTCACTGCAAAAACTTGGCTCCAATCTTGCATGAAGTTGCTGTTTCATTTGAAAGTGATGCTGATGTTGTCATTGCAAAGATTGTGAGATCTATAACCCAAACTAGCTAAAGACTACTCGAAGAGATTTGTTGCTTTGTCAGTATAGACGGTTATTTTCTGCAAATATTGTGCACCTGAATTATGTTTCAATATTACTCTCAAAGTACCTTTCCTTTAATGTTATTTCTGCCTTGCAAATTAAAATCATTTTCTTTCGTCATTTCTAGGTTGCAGGTTCATGTACTGTTCATCTATGGCTTCCAAAACTGAAGAGTAAAATTCTTTTCCTTCTAGCTTTTACAACAATATATAGTAAAAATTATTTTTAATTAATCCTAGCTTGATATTTTGGCTCATCTGTGTTGGTTTATTTCTCATCCATTAATCTACATTATGCTTTCTGATTATTAATATGATTTTCTTATTTGTATCTTCGGTTATGATTTTTTCTACACCTATACCATGAGATTTCTTTACCGCATTGAAAGCATTGGTTTGATTACAACTTACTGGTTTCATCTGCGTAGATGTTGATCCTTTTATTTGTTACAAATTTTATTCCTGAATTGCTCCCACCATTTTGTACTTTGTAGGATGCCACTGCAATTGATGTACCAATTGATATTTTCGACGTGAAAGGTTATCCAACATTGTACTTCAGATCAGCAGGTGGAAATCTGTTGCAGTACAATGGGAAACGTACCAAAGAGGATACAATTGACTTTATTCAGAAGAATCGGGATAAACTTGCCCAACAGGAACCCTGGAAAAGATGAGCTGTAGTGAAGGTATTTTTGTAAACATTACAATTTTGTTTATCATTTAAGGCGGTAGTGTCAACTTATAATCAACAAAATGTAACACGCACTGGCCTACTGTGAATTGGGGCAGCTGTGTGGACTGGTTATTTGGGCAAATTTCTGGCCACTCCTTGGCCACTACTGTGAAGAAATTAGTGTTTACTTGTGTTGTCTGTTGTATCTGGCAGGAGAGAAACTATAGGATTTTCTCATTTTCCCTATTTTCCCTTTGTCTGCAGTGCTATGCTGGTACTTAATTAGGGATGTTGTAGGTTGAGTGATTGTGAGCCACCTCAGTTAAGAGTATTGATTGAGATTCTTGAGAGTTGAGAGTGTTCTGTTTATGAGGGAATTTGAGCCCATTTATGAGTGTTGAGAGATGTGAGACCTCCATATTCATGTATTCTTGCTCATTATCTTGCTTTGCAGGTTGTCAAGTTGGTCTCATGTAGAGAGGAGGGTTGAGATGGTGAGTCCCTATAAGTAGGCTCAGTTCTATGGGTTGAGTGATGGTGAGCCACATAGTTTATCTAACTCTTCTTCTGCAGGTTGTCAAGCTGGTCCTAATTGTAAGGGAGTTTTTTTTTTTTATTAAGGGTTGAGTGTTTGGCTATCTCTCATAAATTGTTTGGAGTGTTTTGTGTTGCATATTGAGGTTAAGTGAATGAGGACTAAATTTTGTGGGCAGTTTTTAGCCAACTTTGTTTTACAAAATGTAAATTTGTCATTGGGGTTTGCTGGAACCTAAACAAACATTATATTGAATCTGTTTAACCTCCCTATAGATCTAATATGTGGTGGTTGAGTACATTTCTTTTAGGCCTATAAACATCTGCTTCTGGTTGTTTGCAACTGATTTTGTTGTTTCGAATCTGCTGTGATGGATTTCCTACTATTATGCTGACTGTGTCCCCAGTTGTTGTTCTGCTGTTATGTTGGCTGGTTTATTTCTCTGCTAGCTGCAGCCCATGCTGATTGCAGTGTTCTTTCACCTCTGTAGAAGCTTTGTTGCAGTGATTCCTTTTTGCAACACTTAGTAGTTTTTCTGCAACATCTGCAGGAGTCATATGGATATCCTCTAACAACGGCACATTAATTCTAACAAACAAATTAAGTGATTTGATATCAAAATAGTTTTTTTTTTTCTACCGCTTGCTTATGATTTGTTACAGCTATAACTTTTGTGTAATCTCCATGTTAAATATATTTAAGTTTAGGTGAATGTTTTTCTTTCAACACTTATTAGTTATGCTGTGTTTTTCTTTGAATGTTTTGGCCTCAAGTTTTATGGATCTTGTAATCAAGTTTTATCTTAAGGTGACTCTTCTCAAAGGCCTTAGACCGGAATTGACGAGCAGGTATCTTCTACACATTGATATATATATATATACACACACATGTACACAATCACACACGTGGATGAGGTTAAGGGTGAACCTACTGAAAACCCATAATGGTCTTCAGAGGTTGAGAGTGAACCTACTGAAAACCTGCATATATTATATTTGTTGTATGGGTGAATTTCGATAGTTTTTGTTTTCAAATGGCAGTTATGATGGTAAATTGACAAAAGGAAAATGGTAAATTGATTACAGTTATGATGAACATCTATAACTATGTTTGTGTTTGTGTCTCATTGAAGTCTGAAGTAGTTAGTCTCAATTGTTCTCATTGATGTGTGTTGTAATATATGTCTTTGTTTGGGGATTCACATTTGTAACTTGTTATGAGTCTAAGTTAATGCATCCATTGAATTTCTAAACTTTTCAAAACTTTGGTTGTGTAGGTCATAACTGAGGAGATGGAAGTTATTTTTCAATGAAAAGATGGGGAATATTTTTTGTTATAATTGCTACAAATTCTTTTTGTGAAAAGAACAAAAGCAAAAGCAAACTTTGTATTTCTAGTTAGTAAATTCTTGTGAAATGAAAATGACAACCATATTCTGGTTCAAATGATGTTGAGTGGTTCCATGCTAAGGATACCTCCTTGCGGTGGTAGGGTGACAAGAAGAGAAAAAAAAGCAGGCATCTATGTAGGTGTATGGTTTTAAAATTTGATGTCTAGTCATGTTAAGTGGGCCAAAGTTGTTCTCAGATAGGTTCCTATATTGAACAACAAGATGGCCAAACTATTGAAGGTTTCCAGAGTGTGGTTTATATTTGTGCCTTTTCATTATTATCATATACCAAAATTTCCTTCTTGTTTTTGTCAGTTCCTCTTATATGATACGCTGTCTTCAAATTTGTAGTTTCTATAATTATAAACTTTATTGAGTACATTGTGTAGCCAAGACACTGAAAAGATTAGAGGAGAAGATTTAGGGACGGGTGAGCATTTTTTTGTGTGTAGATGTTACGTTATATGATTATGATTTAGTTCTAGTGCTTTTTTATACACATTCTTGAATCTAAATCCCTTAATTTCTCCATTGTAGGTTTTGAGCCATTTGTTATATCTGATGTGTATAGTAGAGAAGACTGTTCAAAGACGAGTTGCTTTGGCTCTTACCAACCATTGTTCTGCAGAGGATCAGAGAACAATATTCATTGATAACAATGGTATGCCATTTTTTAGGCTGACATTTGACATAATTGAAACTGTTGTCCCTATTAATTTCAATTGCTTATATCACTGTGTGCAGGATTAGAGTTACTACTTGGTCTTCTTGGTTCCACAAACCTAAAGCAGCAACTTGATGGTTCTATAGCCTTGTACAAGTTGGCTAACAAAGCCACGACTCTTTCTCCCATTGATGCGGCTCCTCCATCTTGACGCCACAGGTGTGTCTCCTTTTTATCGTTAGTTTATTTGGCCTATGTATTCTGTTTGATTTGGAATTATTTCAAACAATTAGTAGGACTAGTATTTGGCAAATTTCATGAAAATATCAGTTGGCTTTTAATTTAAGAAATTTTGAATCTGTCATTTATTTTAATTGTGTAGATGCATCTTGCAAGAGTTAGGGTCCTAGAGTAGAGTAGTGAGGCTATTAGCTTTTTACTAGATAGTTGTTGAAATATTAATTGTGTTGTACTCAAGACCTATGTCTTAAAGGGGTTTGGGCTTGTTGATTTAACCAAATTTCCAGCTTCTACAGTAATTACTGCTAACTGGGATTTAACTTTTATCATATTTCCTTCAATCTGTACCTTTTAGAGTTATATGCCAGTTATATTCTATTGTACCATAAGGTTAATGCTGATATCTAACTTTTTATCATAAATTAAACAATAGATGAATATTCTATGTCTATGCAGCATTTGGTTAATACAAGTCAAAACAAGTTTTTCTTTGTTGTTTTTGTTTCATTTTTGAGTTCTAATGACCATGATCTGAATCAAGACATACTGAACTTGCATGCTGTGGTTCAAAGCCTCCATCCAAATATAGCTCTATGAAAATTTGGAATTTACTAATATATTTATAACAGTGAGATAGGGAAGTATCCTAACTTGAAATCAATGATGTTGTAAACATCTAAAATAAACTACCTATCTACGTCTTTGTTGTTATTGATATTTTTTCACTTCCTTGAGAAACTGACTTCACACTCGGCATTGAAAAATTATCGTGATAACAACATGGGAAGGACCAATGTAAGTTGTAGAAACTTACGGAACTAGCACAGGACTTTCGGTTTGCAAATTAAGTAGAAAAATGTACTTTTCCAACACTTAGGCTTGAAAATATGCCATTGGACTCCAAAATCGTGAAACAGCCATGAGCAGGCCCGGGGAACACCTTGAACACCTCAGGAGGGACCGATGTAAGTTGTAAAAACTTACGGAACTAGCACGGGGCTCTTTGTTTGAAAACTAAGTAAAAAAATGTACTTTTCCAACACTTAGGCGTGAAAAATGGCCATCGGGGGCCAAAATCGTGTAACATCCACAAGAAGGCTCGAGGAACATCCTGAACATCTTGGGAGGGACCGATGTAAGTTGTGAAAACTTACGAAACCAGCACAGGACTCCCGGTTTGAAAACTAAGTCTAAAAATGCACTTCTCTCACATATAAGCTTGAAAATAGGTCATTGAGGGCCAAAATCACGTAATAGGCATGAGAAGGCCCAGGGAACACCTCAAACACCTCAAGAGGGACCAATGTAAGTAGTGGAAACTTACGGAACTAGCACATGACTCCTGGTTTGAAAACTAAGTCAAAAAATGCACTCTTCTCATACTTAACCTTGAAAATAAGCCATATGGGGCCAAAATCGTTTAATAGTCATGAGAACGCTTGGGGAACACCTCAAACACCTCGGGAGGGACCAATGTAAGTTTTGAAAACTTACAGAACTAGCACATGACTCCCGGTTTAAAAACTAAGTCGAAAATGTATTTTTCTCATACTTAACCTTGAAAATAGGCCATACGGGGCCAAAATCGTGTAATAGTCATGAGAACGCTCAGGGAACACCTCAAACACCTCGGGAGGAACCAATGTAAGTTTTGAAAACTTACGGAACTAGCACAGGACTCCTGGTTTGAAAACTAAGTCGAAAAATGCACTTTTCTCACACTTAAACTTGAAAATAGGCCACCGGAGGCCAAAATCGTGCAATAGCCACGAGATGGCCTGGGGAATACCTCAAACACCTCGGGAGGGACCAATATGAGTTGTGGACACTTACAGAACTAGCACAGGACTCCCGGTTTGAAAACTAAGTCCAAAAATGCACTTTTTCACACTAAAGCTTGAAAATAGGCTTTCGGCGGCCAAAATTGTGTAACAGCCAGGAGACGGCCCGGGTAACACCTCAAACACCTCAGGAGGGACCAAAGTAAGTTATGGAAATTTACAGAACTAGCATGGGACTCCCGGTTCGAAAACAAAGTCCAAAAATGCACTTTTTCACAATTAAGCTTGAAAATAGGCCATTGGAGGCCAAAATCATGCAACAGCCATGAGATGGCCCGGGGAACACCTCAAACACCTCGGGAGAAACCAATGTCAGTTGTGAAAACTTACAGAACTAGCACGGGATTCCCAGTTTGAAAACTAAGGCGAAAATTGCACTTTTTCACACTTAAGCTTGAAAATAGGCCATCGGAGGCCAAAATCGTGCAATAACCACGAGACGGCCTAGGGAACACCTCAAACACCTTGGGAGGGACCAATGTGAGTTGCAGAAACATACAAAACTAGCACGGAACTCCCGGTTTGAAAACTAAGCCCAAAAATGTACTTTTTCACACTTAAGCTTGAAAATAGATCTTCGGGGGCCAAAATTGTGCAACAGGCACGGGACGGCCCCGGGGAACACCTCAAACACCTCGAGAGGGACCAATGTGAGTTATGAAAACTTACAAAACTAGCACGGGACTCCCGGTTTGAAAACTAAGTCCAAAAATGCACTTTTTCAAACTTAAGCTTGAAAATAGGCCATTGGAGGCCAAAATCGTGTAACAGTCATCAGATGGCCTGAGGAACACGTTAAACACCTCAGGAGGGGCCAACGTGAGTTGTGAAAACTTACGAAACTAGCACGGGTCTCCCGGTTTGAAAACTAAGTCCAAAAATGTACTTTTCACACTTAAGCTTGAAAATAGACCTTTAGGGGCCAAAATCATACAACAGGCCCGGGACGGCCCAAGGAATACCTCAAACACCTCAGGAGGGACCAATGTGAGTTGTGGAAACTTACGGAACTAACACGGGATTTCCAGTTGAAAACTAAGTCGAAAATTGCACTTTTTCACACTTAAGCTTGAAAATAGGCCATCGGAGGCCAAAATCGTGCAATAGCCATGAGACGGCCCGGGAAACAGCTCAAACACCTCGGGATGGACTAGTGTGAGTTGTGGAAACTTACGGAACTAGCACGGGATTCCCGGTTTGAAAACTAAGTCGAAAATTGCACTTTTTCACACTTAAGCTTGAAAATAGGCCACTGGGGCCAAAATCATGCAACAGCCATGAGATGGCCCGGGAACACCTCAAATAGCTCGGGAGGGACCAATGTGAGTTGTGGAAACTTACAGAACTAGCACGGGACTCCCAGTTTGAAAAATAAGTTGAAAAATGCACTTTTTCACACTTAAGCTTGAAAATAGACCTTCAGAGGCCAAAATCATGTAATAGGCGTGGGACGGCCTGGGGAACACCTCAAACACCTTGGGAGGGACCAATGTAAGTTGTGAAAACTTACAAAACTAACACGGGACTCCCGGTTTGAAAACTAAGTCGAAAAATATACTTTTTCACACTTAAGCTTGAAAATACACCTTCAGGGGGCCAAAATCGTGCAACAAGCACGGGACGGCCCAGAGAATACCTTAAACACTTCGGGAGGGACCAATGTGAGTTGTGAAAACTTACAAAACTAGCACGGGATTCCCAGTTTGAAAACGAAGTAAAAAATTACACTTTTTCACACTTAAGCTTGAAAATAGGCCATCGGAGGCCAAAATCGTGCAACAGCCATGAGACGGCCCGGAGAATAGCTCAAACACCTCGGGAAGGACCAATGTGAGTTGTGGAAACTCACAGAATTTGTACGGGACTCCCGGTTTGAAAACTAAGTTCAAAAATGTACTTTTTCACACTTAAACTTGAAAATAGGCCATCGGAGGCAAAAAGCATGCAACAGCCACGAGACGGCCCAAGGAATACTTCAAACACCTTGGGAGGGACCAATGTGAGTTGTGAAAACTTACGGAACTAGCACGGGACTCTCGGTTTGAAAACTAAGTCCAGAAATGCACTTTCTCACACTTAAGCTTGAAAATAGACCTTCGGGGGCCAAAATCGTGTAACAGGTACGGGACAACCAGGGGAACACCTCAAACACCTCGGGAGGGACCAATGTGAGTTGTGGAAACTTACAGAACTAGTACGGGACTCCCGGTTTGAAAACTAAGCCGAAAATTGCACTTTTTTGAAAATAGACCATTGGAGGCCAAAATCGTACAATAGCCATGAGACAGCCCGGGGAACACCTCAAACACGTCTGGAGGGACCAATGTAAGTTGTGGAAACTTACGGAACTTGCACCGAACTCCCGATTTGAAAACTAATTCGAAAAATGCGTGTTAAATTGCATATTTTATGGATAAGATAATAATTGTCTAACTTGCATTTTTTTTTTCTTTTTTGTGTTTCATTTTTTTGTAGATTCGAGATTTGATATGGACATGTTTTGTAATTTGGAGGGCAGATGGTAGCTCATTTTGTGTTTTTGTTCATATTACCTTATATGTATTTGGGTTGCGTTGTAAATTTTATATTTTTGTTGGTATTACAGGGCATGTTGAGTAATCCGCCCTTAATATTTTATTTTTGTTGATATTAGTAGAGATGTTTTGTTGTTGGATATTAGGAGATATGTTTAGTAATCCGCATGCGGTTTATATGATATTTTTGTAGATATTAGTAGACGTTGTTTGTGGATATTAGGAGACATGTTTATAATCCGCATGCAGTTCATATTGTATTTTTGTGGATAATGCTGAAATTCGATTGTGATGATTATGAAAATGAACAGATTTTTGTATTGATTTGTAATAGATATTTTATTGAACAGGCTATTGAAATGCGCAGGGAATTGTTACTGAAAAGAAAAAATTTCGGAAGAAAATAGTACCCCCATTTTCAAATTTTTTAATTTTTATTAGTGATGAAATAAAAAATGTCGCTATTAGTTTTCAAAAAACATGACAAATAATTTCATCACATCCGCTGAATATTTCATCGCTAAATTGAAATATTTAGCGACAAAATGTTTTTTGTCATTGAAGAATTTTCTTTTCTGCTCATTTTAATGACGAATTTTTTTGTCACCTT